CCCCGGAGAAACCGCATACTCATGTATTTTCCCCAAAATTAATTTTTTTTAGATTATAAAAAATCAGCACATGTTTCCGGACTGGTAAATTTTATAACAATGTCGTCTCACACTCCTCCCCCTCACCCCCGTAAATTTCCAACCCTCCANGTATTTTCCCCAAAATTAATTTTTTTTAGATTATAAAAAATCAGCACATGTTTCCGGACTGGTAAATTTTATAACAATGTCGTCTCACACTCCTCCCCCTCACCCCCGTAAATTTCCAACCCTCCAGATACATGCGGCTGTCTTCAACCCCCCGGAGAATCCGCATGATCATGTATTTTCCCCGAAATTCTTTTTTTTTAATCCTCCGGGGGGTTGAAGACAGCCGCATGTATCCGGAGGGGTGAAAATTCAGGGGGGTGAGGGGGAGGTGTCTAACATTACATTTTTATAAAATTTACGCCTCCGGAAACATGCGCTGATTTTTAATAATTAAAAAAAAAAAAGAATTTCGGGGAAAATACATGATCATGCGGTTTCTCCGGGGGGTTGAAGACAGCCGCATGTATCCGGAGGGACGAAAATTTATGGGGGTGAGGGAGAGGGGTCTGAGACTACAGTGTTATAAAATTCACCTCATCGGAAACAAGCGCTGATTTTTTATAATTAAAAAAAAAGAATTTCGGGGAAAATACATGTTCACGCGGTTCCTCCGGGGGGTTGAAGACAGCCTCATATATCCGGTGGGGTGGAAATTTAGGGGGGCGAGGGGGATCTGAGATTACATTTTCACAAAATTCACCCCTCCGGAAATATGCGCTGATTTTTTATAATCTAAAAAATAATTAATCTCGGGGAAAATACATGAGTATGCGGTTTCTCCGAGGGGTTGAAACCGCATGTATCCGGAGGGGTAAATTTTACAAATTCATTGTTTAAAAAATTATAAAAAATCAGTGCATGTTTTCGGAGGTGTAAATTTTATAAAAATGTAATCTCAGACCCCTCCCGTTCACCCCCCTCAATTTTCATCCCTCCGGATACATGCGTCTGTTTTCCACCCTGGCAGTCNCCCTCCAGATACATGCGGCTGTCTTCAACCCCCCGGAGAATCCGCATGATCATGTATTTTCCCCGAAATTCTTTTTTTTTAATCCTCCGGGGGGTTGAAGACAGCCGCATGTATCCGGAGGGGTGAAAATTCAGGGGGGTGAGGGGGAGGTGTCTAACATTACATTTTTATAAAATTTACGCCTCCGGAAACATGCGCTGATTTTTAATAATTAAAAAAAAAAAAGAATTTCGGGGAAAATACATGATCATGCGGTTTCTCCGGGGGGTTGAAGACAGCCGCATGTATCCGGAGGGACGAAAATTTATGGGGGTGAGGGAGAGGGGTCTGAGACTACAGTGTTATAAAATTCACCTCATCGGAAACAAGCGCTGATTTTTTATAATTAAAAAAAAAGAATTTCGGGGAAAATACATGTTCACGCGGTTCCTCCGGGGGGTTGAAGACAGCCTCATATATCCGGTGGGGTGGAAATTTAGGGGGGCGAGGGGGATCTGAGATTACATTTTCACAAAATTCACCCCTCCGGAAATATGCGCTGATTTTTTATAATCTAAAAAATAATTAATCTCGGGGAAAATACATGAGTATGCGGTTTCTCCGAGGGGTTGAAACCGCATGTATCCGGAGGGGTAAATTTTACAAATTCATTGTTTAAAAAATTATAAAAAATCAGTGCATGTTTTCGGAGGTGTAAATTTTATAAAAATGTAATCTCAGACCCCTCCCGTTCACCCCCCTCAATTTTCATCCCTCCGGATACATGCGTCTGTTTTCCACCCTGGCAGTCATCAGCATTGAATAATTCAAAATATCAACATTTTTTCAGCTAAAATAAAATAACATAATTCGTCACAACACCCTTCTATCGACTCGTTCGACAGACGACTGGCCTGCGACTGTTGCGGCAGCAATCGCAGTGCTGCTATAAACGCGGCCAACCAGGACGGTCATTTAATCCTAACGCCATCTCGCGGCATTCATTGATCGGGGATTGTTTTGGCATAAATACACTTTCACCCATTTCTGCTAATTGNCATCCCTCCGGATACATGCGTCTGTTTTCCACCCTGGCAGTCATCAGCATTGAATAATTCAAAATATCAACATTTTTTCAGCTAAAATAAAATAACATAATTCGTCACAACACCCTTCTATCGACTCGTTCGACAGACGACTGGCCTGCGACTGTTGCGGCAGCAATCGCAGTGCTGCTATAAACGCGGCCAACCAGGACGGTCATTTAATCCTAACGCCATCTCGCGGCATTCATTGATCGGGGATTGTTTTGGCATAAATACACTTTCACCCATTTCTGCTAATTGATAGAAAATAACGCAATAAACTGTATTAATTGAAACAAATCGATCATCTTTCAACTTTTTAACTATTTGTGGATCCTATTTATGTCATTTATGTCATGCGTGCGTGTAAAGTACAGGTTAACAGGGGCGTTTGGAGGTCGGTAAGTCGATTTTACACGCACCACCAATCGTTCTTCACTTAACAGACGTTCCCAGTTTTACACGCGTCCTATGCTATTTTACTGGTATTTTACACGTTCTCAATAACCCCTAGCGACATCTTGCGGTACAAACATAACCCATTATCCCAACCATACACCGATCAGCTGATCCATTAGACACTATTTAACGAAACAAATCGCAGTGCAAAAAGCTAAAAAATAAACTACATAATAATAAATAATTAACTCAAAAAGTGAAATATGAATACACAAGAAGATATGTTTAGTGAATACGATGAAATACTAACAGATAATATACTTCGAAACGCTCAGGAAGCAGAGAAATGCTATCAAGAAAAAGCCAACTTTGAAAGAAAAAAGAAAATGAGTATTTTTTCTAAATATTAGAGAATAATTTTTTTTTGCGCGATTTTTCTTCACCCCCCACCCTGAAGAAAATATGAGGAAAGTTTGTTGTTTTTTCATTATTTTTTTATTAGTATGAAGAATTAATAAACATAAATTATTATTATTATTATTATTATTATTATTATTATTATCATTACTCATATTTTTTTGTCAGATAGATTGAAATATTTGAACAATTATTAAAAGTAACAGATATATTTGACAGGGAATTTTTGAGGAGATTCATTACTTCAAGTTCTCTTTGTTGTTGATATTGGAATTTGTTGAAGTTGATGAGTCTTCATTAGTTCTTTTATTTTGATCATTGTTGAGTTTGCAGTTTGTGACGGTTGTGGGGTGGTGATGAGATACTTTTTGATTTTTTGACAACCCCTTCCCCACCGGGGGGCTCCGCCCCCCTGGACCCCCTCCCCCGCCCGTACCTACTCGCCACCACCACAGACGCACTGATGACATAAAATGCATTACACAACTCGTGAGGTAAGTCGGTTTTACACGCCCGTGCGCCTTCGCCGCATTCGCGTGTAAAGTCCGACTTACCTCACTTGTTGTGTAAAATACCATTTCGGCCTTTTTCACAGGAAAATAACATCGTCAGTACATGCTCGTAACAGCGGTGATACTAAGTTGCCAGGGCAGTACAAGACGACTGTAGAAATAAGCTGAAGTTGTGTCTAGATGTTATGAAAAGTTCTGTGGTTTTTAAAAATAACAAATTCAACTTCATGAACTTGGCGCTCTTCCTGATTTCTGCATTTTTTTCAGTGTCCCAAAAACAACTATCCATAAATAAGTACTCGTGCATTTTTCCACAACAACGTATTGAAATGATGACTCGGCATTTTTTCAATTTTTTTTTCTGAGAAACAACACAATTGTTTTTAAAATTGTTTTTTGCTGAGAAACAATACAATTTTTTTTAATACAATGCTTACAAAGCCGCACTTGGCCGGTTTTTTCAAAAATCAGCTATAACTAGATGAAAATTTCATTGAATCAAAATTACGGTCCACAATTTCGATGAATATTAAATGCTCATCAAAATGGTATATAGATATGCCCACCTAGTACATTTCGCTGCACTTGAAAATCCAACTAAAATTAATTTTTTAAGTGAGACATGAAAATGCAATTTTCGTCTAAAAACTCTCATAAGTTGATGAAAAATTGACAAAATTGGACAAATCAGGGGTTTTTTAATCTTATTTTCAAGCTTATTTAATAAGCCTTCTAATGAGCACACTATATTTATGGTTCATGCAAGAGGAAGGAGGAATTGAGTATAGATACCAAAAAATGAAGTCTGGTAACGCTCACGGATATTTCTATGTTGGATATTGGATGAACAGAAAAATGGGAACTGGTCGGGAAGTTATTGGTTGGACACTTAATGGGTCCAATCTTCCGATTTCGAATTTGGCATGGAATTATTCTGAAGCAATAGAAAATTTACTGGGCTACTGGATAAAGTTATTACCTGAAACAAAAATAAAAAGTTAACATTGAAAGAACAAAAATTAGCATTTCAACTTCGTGATTCTTTAATAATGCAATTTCGGGAATTCAAGTTAATCAGTTAAAAGTTAAGTGACAGGGTTTTCAATACATTAATGGCACTACAACATCCTTTATAGCAATGAATGATATATTTTCATAGAAAAAAAAGTGAACAATAATATTTGTTCTTACTCAGTCCGTGAAGCCTCATTTCACGCACGCTGCACGTGTTAATAAGCCGCTCACGAACATCGTAACAAAAAATATGCTTCGTCACAGTCTCGAAAAATACTCCGCAGAGAAAGTAGCATACGAATAAATTACTGAAGTCAATGAACTGCACCCTGTTACAAGACCATTCCAGAAAATTGTGAATGTGTGAACAACATAACGTATTTGCATTTTTTTACCTCAAGGACTCGAATCGAATTGGCGAAATGTGACGGAAGCATCTCGAATTTCTCCGAATATAATTCAGCATTTTTCCTGGAAGTAAACAAGTGTCGAAATCCAACACAATATACAGTATCAGTTTGAATTTGAGTGTCATATGAGCACGATGGCTCTCACATTTTTCTCAGTGGTACTTTGATCAATGATTCCTCAGTTTGCCGCATAATTTCTAAATTGCCTACGAATTGTTGTGAAAATTTCTATGAAAAATTGATGGATTTAGAACACTGAACAATTGAACAAAGAATTGAACATTGAAATATGCCTCTCCCAGTTCATGCAATGTTCTATCGGGAAAGTTTCTTGATGTCGTTTTCTTAACTACACCCTAGGGGAATATTTGTGAAATCATGTACAATTTTGTTGTGTAAATAGAAAATAATTCCAAGATATTTCATACATATCAGTAGCGAAGCGGTGAAACGTTTTAAGTCGACTTATCTCCTAGTTGAGTTTTTGAGGAATATTTCTGAATCTAAAAGAGATAGCGAAATCTTCGTAATCACATTTGTTGTGGTTCTCAAACGGATCGACAAAAAAGGTCATATTAAAATTTTTGCTATCTCCCTTAGATTCCGAGATATTCATTGAAAACTGGTCAATTGTCAAAATTGACTTGTACTGTTTTACCACTTCGCTACTGATAAGATTTCACAATTATTTCTGAAACTAGCGGATTTTGAGAAGGATTTAAGCAAACTTTTTTCACAGTTCATCAATTTTTTGGCAAAATAGATCTTTGATGACTTTTCTGTAAAGCGATTTGCTTCATACATATTTACAAAGGAAGAAAATCCGAATAGATTATGCCAAAAATAATACTAATTGAAAGCATTTTCCTTTTCTGAATTTCAGGTTTTTGCAATTGGCACATGTTCGAAACAATGTTTCAGCCAAGCAGATGTTGTTATTCAATCAGGATTGGTACAGCCCAGCACAAATCCGATGTCATTAGATGACCTGCCAATTGATTATCAATCGCGATGTTCTCCTCGCCTTCATAATGCTCACCACTCAACCATACAGTATCAATCTACACCGATAGCCCACCGGTTCATTCCGATGATATCTAGCCAATATTATCCACGAAATTTATTATTCTCAGAAACTCAATGTTATCAAGGGATTAATAGATTGATTCATCAACAAATCACTGGGATTCTTCCGCAACATCCTAATCAAATGATGAGCATGGATACGACTGTGGGCAGTGCACTTTCCTGCTCACATCTTCAATACTTAAGACCACATTTGTTCAAGCCTGATCTCCAGACGGGCAGAATCTTCTCAGTGACGCTGCATGGATTGGAGAGCTTGAATTGTAACAAATTTCCCACCTACAACGGACTTCTGTGGGAGCTACCATATCAGACAGGATATTCTCCGAATTCTAAGACAGATGTGAGTTTTCCAATTCACTTCTAGAACCACTAATCTAATCGAGTCCGAAATGGAATCTTTATTGATTGCGTCATTATTTTTTGAACCAGTCTATTTGTGAAAAAATGTTGAGGGGCTGTTGTTATGAATGAAAAAGTATCTTACGTATCAAAAACGGTGTCAATATTTGCAATTAATATACTTTATTATCAACATAATCGATAATGAACATGATGAGTGACTAGCGTCTTCAGATTCATTTGATTGCAATTCAGGATGTTATTGGGTAACACATATAGGAAAAATTTCACGTTAAATCCGAAGAAGCTTCAAAATTAGATCAAATAAACCGATTTACTTGTGTGTTTAGACCATTATCGTCGAATTAATTTTTTTTTCAATCTGCAATTACTTGAAATGCTTATTTTTTTTATAATAATCTCAAATTTTCAGGATAAGTTGGAAACATAATTGCCAATATTTCTACCAATGGGTGCCCCGGGATAAAAATTTTCAGTTTGTCGGATCTCTCCAAGACTGTGAGAGACTAAAATGAATCTGTCTGGATCTCTCGCAACCGGTTTCGCGTCTCGGAGAGTCTTTGGTGAGAGACTTCAGTCTGAGTCTTCGCCAACACGGTAGAGACTGGAATCTCTCATTGAAAGCTATGGACTTAGAATTTTCGGGAATGGCAATCAGGATCTCACTAAAATGAATTATTGATTCATTGATCATCAATTAAATAGACACTAGAGCAAGTATAATATAGTACAGGGGACGATTAGGAGGAGGGGTAATGAATTGGATTACGGAGCAAGATGGGATAATTTGATGATCGGATGATGAGCGAATTATATCGTGAGGGAAAATAGGATGAATGGGGAACTAAATGACAGGCTAATTAGCCAGCGAGATAAAACGGGGAGGTGAGGTAGACTGGAACAGCCTGGACGATGGGCGAATTGGAGCCGGGGGGTGAACTAGGACAACAAAGTGAATTTGACGGCGAACTAACCTGCCTATGGGATAAAATGGGATAGTGGTGCGAAATAGAATAACGGATTCAAACAGATCCGTTTTAAACCCTTGTTCTGTTTAACCCCATTATCTCATTATTAATTCACCCTGTCCTATTTTGCCTTCTCCTATTTCGGCCCCGGTAAATTTTGGCTGTTCCATTATACCCACCGTCTCGTTTTACCCCACTTTCATATTTGCCAGGCTCACCCATTTCACCTCGCTATCGATTTTACCAGATTATTCCACTAAATACCATTATTTAATTAACCTGCCGCCTAATTTAACCCTCCGGCTAATTAGCCTGCTATTTAGTTCGCCCCATTTTACGCCGCAATCTGAGTAGTAAGTAGCATTCTCGTCCGGTTTACTCCGAAATTTAATTTTACACCCCACCGTCTAATTTCATCCCATCATTCAATTTACCTAGCCATAAATAAAAAAATTGAAAAAGTAAATTAAAGAATTAAAAAAAGTAAAAAAATTAAATTAATTCACTAGCGGATTCATTCCATACTCCAATTTAATTCGTTGTCCCACTTTATCCTACTGTCACAGTAACTGTCATTGCGGTTCACTTTAGGGTTTCATTTAACCGCTATCCCATTTTGCCCCTCTATCCCATTTTGCCCCACTCAGACTAACCAGGGGAGGTGTTTTGCTCGTTTTATGTCGACAAAAACTTTTTTTTTCTCCCTCCAGAGGGCGTCAGAGAAATTTTGCGGGTTACTTGTATGTGGGTTTGGGACACACGTCGCAGGTATCTGAAACTTTTTCTGTATTGCTTCTCACGATTTCTCATCTGGGAATTGGTATTGCATACTTCCAAAATTCGAAAACTTGAAAATGATTACAAAAAAATCTTGTCCCGGGCTGCTGCGATGGGATTTTTTTACTCGTGTGGCGTAAAAAACCACATCACAGCAACCCGAAAAAAATACTATTACGTCACCATTACAAGGAAACAGTAGAGAAAAAAAATCGTACAGCAGGAATAAAAACATTTACGGGGTAGTAATCTATGGGTCGTCCTGAAATTATTAATCACATCAAAAACAATTGTAATTTCAGTGGTAAAAAAAACTTGATTCAAATTTTAACTCTATAACAATTTGCCTTTTCCGGAAGTACATGAAAAGTTCTGAGAAGAAACTTCTATATTGCCAAATGTAAATAGGTAACGCTGATTATTTATGATTTGTAAAAAAAATTTCATTGGAATGTCTGGCGGTTTCTCTAAGAAAGTCTATCATTTTTTCATTAGAATTCTCTAGGAATTTGATTACAGTTCTATTAGAATTATATTAAAAATTATGCACCTCTGCCATCGATTTGTCAATAGATGTTTCGTTAAGAAATAAATTCAATAGATGTTGATCCTTCTATATGACTTATTATGTTGGGATTTTTTTCTTCTGCGAATTATTAAACATGAGTAAGATTATAAGTTCTTCCTCTTGTACAAAAAACGGATAGATTAAAAAAAATGAAATTCTAGTAAAACTTCAATGAAATTCTTATCGAATAGGAATTGAATATATTTCAATTCAATTCTCTATTCCCTTGATGTTACAAAAGTTTTTCTTTGTTTTACATCTACACATGCCTCCCTCCTTCTTCACCATAGAACCGAGTCTCCTCTCTCCTCCTCGGAATAACAACAATGATTTTAAAGAGGTCAAATAATCATAACAAAATTGCCTTGCGCCTCAACCTCAAGTGAACAATAACAAACAAGTAAGCAGATCTTGCCAGAAGCCAACTCGGACATCTACACCGTTTTGAAACATTTTTGAGAATATTCGCAAATAACTTAAGAAAAGTTTCGCAAATGACAACATGTTAAGCTCATGCTGAAAGCTCCGTCTCCGATGTTCCATCCTTTCGTTGGTCCGGTTCCACTCGCATCCCGGATGTTCCTCACAGTCTCTCCCATCCCTGTTGGAGCCATTTCCATCCTCCAAAAGTTTCAACTCGCTATGCACAGCCACACCGCCAAAATTACTTTTTCTATCGTGGCCACGTCGTCCACCTCAGCTTTATCTAAGCCATAACCTCCTCCCCTCACTATTTATCTTCACCGCCATATTTACTGCCTTTCAGCCTTCCGCTTCTCTCAAGATGTATAGCAATTTTACATAACCTCTCCCTCCTTTTGCGTCTCTATGTCTCACCGTGGACAAATTTCTTGACTAATGTAGCTCCCACGTTCATCGCCAGCACTAACATTTTCACTGCCACATGCTTCATATTTACGGTCTATCAGCCTTCGAATTCTCTCAAGATTGAGAAACAATTTTCCTTGTAGTCTCCTCGTGATATGCCCTTTATTCGTTTCACCATTCAATGATAATAACACTTTCTTCCGTTTACCCTTTATCATAATCGTCCTCTGCTTCTCCCGCTTACTCCTATTCACCTTAATTTACTCAGGTACCTCAGACTTCGGCCAAACTATGCTTCTGCCTCCGTGGTTCTATCCAAATTCTCCATGTAACACCGTGCTTCGTGGTCTCACTATCCGTTCATCCCAAGCTTACCCAACCTTTCTTATTTTGGGCTGCCTCTTTTTTCCTCTCACTACTCTCAATTTCAATTTCTCATGATTTTTCGGAATTTAATTTACATCACCTTGGATATCTTCCACTCTCTAACCCATACGAATTTCGTCTGTTTCCATCGTTTCTTGCCCCTCTTAACCCCTCGCCGTCGTCGCCACGTCATCTAACCTCCAAATTGCCAGCCGCCAACATTCCATTGAAAAACCTCTCAAAAAGTTCTGTTTCACCTCCACTTAATTATCTTTCTTGTAAATAACACTGCAAGAAGCCCCTCCGACAACTTTCTTCCACTTTGTTACGCCAACAAAACATAATGTATTCTCAAAAATCGACGGAGCCTTCACCCACTCTACCTCCTTTCACGAGCGCCACCTCCCCTCTCAAAATTGAATGCAATTTTCTGCAAAAAGCGCTACGTTTTTCTACTCAATCTTTTCATACATACCTTCTACAATTTAATTTCAAAATTTGATTTTTGGGAATCAATAGATCTATAATAGTAAGGGATGATGCTGATATATTTCAAAAACTAAAGGGACAAAGGTAATTTATTCATGTTTTTTGAAGAAATTTCATAGAAAACTCAAGCGTTTTCTCAGAGAAAGTCTATTGTTTTTTCTTTATGATTCTGCAGGACTTCTATTGGAGTTTTATTACAATTCTATTGAAGTTCTATACAGATTCTATTAAAAATTACGCAACTCTGCCATGGACTTTTCAACAGATATTTTGTTAACGCGGCTCGAGCATCGTTATATTATCGCTGTATAGCCAAAGGGGCGTAAGTGCCATGATTTTCAGTTTTTTTTCAAAACCAAAGGGGCGTATGTTTTTTTCAATCGTAAAATGGAACTTACAAACTTTTTCAAACGTTTTTCGCCAATCAATTTCGACAGCAACAAATGGGCGTATTTTCACATAATTCGAACCACAAGAACTATCTGCGGGACATACGCCCCTTTGTTTTTAGTCTTTTGGTTAATATTCTATTCTACTTGAAGCATTAAAAATGACAAAGGAGCATAAGTCTAAATAGAACCAAAGGGATATATCTCCAGTGCATACGTCCCTTTGTAGGAATTGACCCGAATCAAAATTTTACCGGGTCTCCCGACGTAGTTTCAATGGTTTGAACCTACATTGCTTTGATGTCCACATTCTCCATCGAATTTTTACCGTATTTTCAACTTATCTCAACGTGAAGGCCCATGGACGTTGAAAAACACTCAATATCCACCGTATATTAAACGTACTCTCAACGTTAATGACGTTTGCTTTCTGTTAACGTACGTTGTAAGTTTCGACGTCCACATTTGATTGTATCAAGGTCGTAATTGACGATAATTAAAAAATTCATTACCGTGTTAAAGACTCACGTAATTAAATTATTAGTGTTAATACATTAATAACATTATTTTGAAGTTCCAACAATCGTGCATATGAAGGGTGAGTTGGATCCAAGGGTGAGAAGGGTTAGTTGAGTATAACGATCTATTGAGTATAAGGGTCAGATGAGTATAAGGGTGAGTTGCCTTCAAAAGATTACGCGAATCTAAGGGTCAGATAAGTGAAAGCCTCAGTTGAGATTGAATGTCAGTTGAGTTTAAAGGTGAGTTGAGCCAAAGGGTCAAAAGAGTACGAAGGGTCAGGCAAATCCAAGGGTCTGTTTTGTAAGGGTCAGATAATTAAAAACTCCAGTTGAGTTCAACTGTCAGGTGAATTTAAGGGCCAGTTGTGTGTAAGGGTCCGTTGAGTGTAAGGATCAGATGAGTCTAAGACGAAGATAAGGGTCAAATGAGTCTGAGGGTCAGATCGATTCTGCGGCTCAGGTGAACCAAAGGTCATCTGACTTTTACATTGAACTGACTCTTAAACCCAACTCAGCGTTTATTCATCTGACCTTTAGATTTGCCTGACCCTTCGTACTCTTTTGACCCTTAGGCTCAACTGACTCGTAGATTCGCGTGATCCTTCACACTCAACTTACCCTTAAATCCGCCGGACCCTTTGTAGTTGTTTGACGCTTAGACTCAACTGACTTTTAGATTCGCCTGATCCTTCGGACTCAAACAACCCTTAGACCCATCTGACCCTTAAACTCAACTGACACTTGGACACAATTGACCTTCAAACTGAACTGAAGCTTTTGCGTATCTGACCTTTACTCAACAGACCCTCAAATTCGGATGATCCTTCGGACTTGACTAATCCTCAGACCCATCTGACCCTTAAACTCAACTATCACTGAGACGCATCTAACCTTTAAACTCAACTAAGACTTTTACTTATCTGACCCATACTCAACTGACCCTGATATTCACCTGACCCTTCGTACCCTTTTGACCCTCAGATTCGTCTGATTCTTCGGACTCGGCTGACCGTTATATCCATCTGACCCTATGCTGAAGGTTTTACGCTTATTGATATAAAAAACCATCTGGCCTCCATACTCATCTGCCCC